CCATTCCCTTTGTACATCACACTGACTGATGCACCTGCATGTCCCCAACAAGTAAGCTCCTTCCTTGAGCAGACTGAGTTCCACTGCTGCCGCCAGCTGAGCCGGATCTGTAGTAAGAGTACTGCTGATCCTAAACCTGTTTTTGCAGTGGTACATTATTATAATAATGAGATTTTATTAAATCATCTATTACTTAAATAAAATAGGAATAAAAAAGAAGCACAATAACTGTTTCTATGAAAATAAGTTGAATACTTTGAACTTTACAAAGAATACTCCATAGCAAAATAATAATTTTTTAAAGTTGACACTGAATATGGTCTGGGCATCATAACGTACAACAATAGGAAAATAAAGCATAAATGTCTTCCAAAGTGTTTCTAAGTTTTTACTCCACTTTAAAGAAACAAATTGGAAATAATAGACAATTCACTATGGGTGTGATTTTGGTAAGATAACAATGAATCCCATCTGTAGATCCATACTGGAATAAAAGTCTGGGCTTTGGATCAAAGAGTTGCCAAAAATTACATATTTATAAATTTCATGTTTGAATTATTTGAAATATGTAGACATCATTTTTCTATTCCTCTATTTTAATATTTTTTTAGTAACTGACTAACTCAGTGATGGCGAACCTATGACACGCATGTCAGAGGTGACACGCGAACTCATTTTTTTGGTTAATTTTTCTTTGTTAAATGGCATTTAAATATATAAAATAAATATCAAAAATACAAATCTTTGTTTTACTATGGTTGCAAATATCAAAAAATTTCTATATGTGACACGGCACCAGAGTTAAGTTAGGGTTTTTCAAAATGCTGACACACCGAGCTCAAAAGGTTCACCATCACTGGACTAACTATTGATTTTTATTTCTTTTGTCAAGAAGGCTCCTCTCTTTTTAATATTATATCTACTATGTGCCAGGTACAGAGACTGTGAATACAAAGAAAAAAAGGTTTTAGTACTTCAACAAGTCAAAATTTAATGGGATAGATGGATATGCTAACAAATAATAGCTATCCATTATACTAAGCATCATAAGTGAATGTTCAATGTTGAAATGAAAATAACAAACTTGGTGTGGAGAGCAGCAGGGTGAGTGATATGTCAGGAGACTTTCCACGAGGCCCAAGAGTGAGTTCAGGTGATCTAGACAGAGCACATGCGCAAAGTAGGGCAGCACTAAGAAATGCCACAGGTCCCAGACACCAAAGGTTCCCAAGTGTGAATAAGTTGGAAAGGCAGGGTGGGAGCCACACCACAAGGGACAGAGTTGAATTTTAGACCATAAACTAAAAGGAATCATTATTTTTTAAACAAAAGAATGACACAGTGATACCTGTATTTCAGCATGTTATTTTTCCAAACAGTTCAGAAAATGAATGGAGGTGATACAGGAAGTAAAGAGACCAGTTGAGATTATGAAAATGGTTTACTAAAAAAATAAGCAAAAGAATTCATGATGGAAAAAAATATCAGTTTATATGTTTATAAAATCAGTGGGGGGCAAGTTGCTAATAAACAGGAAATAGACCCAAATTCACTATGAACAACTCATCCAAGATCACTCTCTAATATACTCTTAACATACATAAAAATATAAACATTACCCAAATAGAACTGTAATAAAACATACATGACCTCTACAGAGTTAGGATGCTCATCATAGTATTTACCATCCAGACCTTAATAAATAACAATGATAAGATGATGCCTACATACAATTTAATGATCATGAGAATGGAGGAAGGCTATATAAAAATAATACTGTGTTTCAGTCTAGAAACAGAAGCCAAATAATCTATGGAATCATAACTGCCATGGATTTTATCACACAATTTGTTCATCTAATTCTGGCAGCAGTACACTCAGGTGTATCTCATTAAAAACTGAGAGAAATGCAGATAAGATAAAGCAAAGGAAAAATCACTATTTCATGTTAAGTAATAAATCTACATAAAAATAACTTCTTAATCTGTGAGACTAGATTTTTTAAAGTTCTATAAAATTTCTGAAAGTTAGTAGATGGCAAACTAAAATGGCTTCAACAGAAACTAGAAGTTTAAAGAAATGAAGATGTTAGTGGACTATGTAAAAACCACACTGTGGTGCCTCCAGAGACAGGCCTCCCCTGGAATGTCCATGGTTCTGACCCTGTATGGTGATTACTATTACTTTAAGTCAAAAACAATGGGAAAGAATGAGAAAATCTTCATGTATTAACAGAAGATGGTAAAACACAATGCAATGTAATAAATCTAAATTTTCCTCCTCCTTAGAACAACCAGACAACCTACCATAGAAACTTAGGTTACAGAATGCAGGGACAGTGTTCAAGCCTCCTTATGAACCCTCAAGTTCTCTCACAAAAGAAATTTAATCTGAATTTATAAATTTACCTGGAAATGAAAGAGATGAAAGCAGATCTATAACACTTCTTCTCAAATTATATCCATATGTATTATTACTTAATTGTTTACATATCATCATGGTTTTCTTTAGTACCTATTAGCACGTAACAGAGTGTCTGCTACATGGTAGATGCTCACTAAAAAGACAAATTAGGCATGATGTGGGGATTAGCAAGATGAGTACAGGTGGTGAAACGGTACAAACTTCTAGTTATAAAATAAGTCCTGGGGATGTAATGTACAGCATGATGATTATCCTATCTAATAAACAGGTAATATGCAAATTGACCATCACTCCAACACACAAGATGGCCGCCCCCATGTGGACATGAGATGGCAACCACAAGACGACTGGCAGGAGAGGGCAGTTGTGGGAGATCAGGCCAGCAGGATTGGGCAGGTGGGAGGGACCAGGCCTGCAGGGGAGAGAAGTTCGGGGTGAACAGGCCGGCAGGGGAGTGCAGTTTGGGGGGGGACCCAGGACTTCAGGGGAGGGAAGTTGGGAGCAACAAGCCCAGCAGGGGAGGGCCTTTAGGGGCAATCGGGATGGCAGGGGAGGGTAGTAAGGGGCGACCTGGCCAGCAGGAGAAGGCAGTTGGGGGCAACCGGGCCTGCAGGTGAGGACAGTTAGGGGTGACCAGGCTGGCAAGGGAGGGCAGTTAGGGGTGACCAGGCTGGCAGGGGAGGGCAGTTAGGGGTGACCAGGCCTGCAGGGGAGGACAGTTAGGGGTGACCAGGCCAGCAGGGGAGGGCGGCTAGGGGCAATCAGGATGGCAGAG